AAAAAAAAGAAAAGGAAAACGTGATGTGCCATGGTAGCTTTTAATCCGTGATTTCTTCAGTGTAAAAAGTGCTACTTTCGGTATAAAATTTCAACAACTGCGAAAATTATATACGTTGATACACGACAACAGGCTTCTCCAGTGGCTTGAGAGAATAAGATGAAGATCCTAGGATTTCCTTTACTTTGTATTTTTTCCCCCCTGTTTCTTTGATGTGTCAAAACCCACGACAGAGTTTGACTACTGCGTTAGTGTCTTTGAGTGAGGGCATGTATTCTTGGCTTAGAAGTCAGGTGCTCAGAGCTGGTTCAAAAAAAAAAAAAAAAAAAAAAAAGAAGGTATATTTTGTGTTATATAAATGTCGAGAAGTTTTTTCCTTTTTTTTTTTCTGTATTTTTCCCTCTTTTTCAAAGTCACTGAAGTTTCAATAAATTTTTATTGAAATGTCTTGGGCGTGCTGTGAAATACCTTCCTACCATCCTTCCTAAGGGGCTGCCTGGGAGGAGAGGGAGGAAAAAGGCATCTCTCCTTCATCTCCCCTTCTCTCCTCACCCCCTCCCTAATATCGAGCTATTTCTCACACAACGAGATTCGCAAAAAACAGCCGGTCTCCGCGATGTCGCTCGCCTTGTTGCTGGGGAAATACAATTTYTAAGCAAGCTGTTTAATGTACTTTTGCCCGTCTCTAACACTTTTAAAGTAGGATCAGAGGCTACGAAGTTGCCTAGGTTTTAATGGAACAATATTAAGTGGCATTTGAAAAGTTAATGAGAATGGCTCAGCGATGCTTTTATCTATCATAAATTAATAAAACAATAGCTAAGAATTGGAGAATAGATCTGTTAAAAATTAATGCAGAGCCCTCCTCCAAAGTTTCCAGGTAAAGTGCTCATGACTTGATGGGGTTACTGGGCTCGTTTTTCCCTCCTGTCCGGGGAGGGGAATCAGCCTTTCGAGTTATCACCTGGAAATACGTGTGTATATATATATATATATATATCTGTGTGTGTTGTGCGCGCGCGTGTATCTAAATAAATATATATATATATATATATATATTTTTACTTTTGGGAGCGCCGCTTCTTGCCGTCAGGTCGCAGAAACACGTTGAGATTAAGCTAGAAAAATGGCTGAAATAGGCACACACTTTCTGGCTGCAGCTGAGAGCTGAACAGCCAGTGGTCTGGGAGGTCACTGAGAACAGAAATGAATTGGCAGCCTCCGCCTGTAGCTGTGCCAGTCCATGATCACATCCTTAAGCACAACATATATATTTTTGCTCGTTAAAGAGATTTTCCCCCCTTCAACAGTTAGTGGCCCATATACTGAAAAGTGATTCATCCTCCGCCAGTAATAAATATTATAAGGATGTACTTCCAGCCCGTATCCTATTTTATGCTCTGCCTGTCCCCCGGCAGGGCTCCCGTGGCCGCGGTTCTTCCCTCCCCGCGCTTTGCCGAGGTCCCGGCTGGCCGGGGGACCCTATCCATGACCCCCTGCAGCACAGGATCCGCTCCCCCCATCCCTTACACCGCCCTTTCCCGAGCGCAGCTCAGTTCTCCGCACTCCCTTCATCCCCGGGGTGTGTGAGTGGTGTGGGGGGTTCCGTCTAGTCCCACCCGGAGGCAGCATTTTAAACCCAGGGCAGTCTCTGCTCTCGYATAGTGCGGTCGGTGCGATGAAATTTGGATTGAGCTGCGTTTTCTCTCCTTTCTTTCTTCGTCTGAGCCGGGCCCAAGGTGAGGGCCGCCCCAGCAGCCGCGCTTTAGGTGGGGCTTTTATGGACGGAGGTGGCGTCGGGGCCGGCGAGAAAACAAACAGCGTCTGCGGGCAGGAAACTGAGGGCCGGGGGGTGGAAATGTGCAGCTCCAGCAGCGGGATCTGCTTTTCCACCCGGATCCTATGGGAGGACCCAAGTTGTCTCCGAGTTGCCTAGGCAGGGCGGGGGGTGCCCGCACTGTGGGGAAAAGGGGGCTGCCACCCTGGCCGCTTTGCGAAACCAGCTGTCGAGCAACACCCTTCATCTTG